TCTGTCATCTTATCTAGCAAATGACATGAAAACTGGTGTTATATTTTTTTAGAAAGAGGCCAGCAATAAAATGTGCATTTCTGGTTAAAATATAAGATATCAACAGTATGTGTAGATGTTGTATGAGCAGATATTTGATACAAATAAATTGGAAAGCATGTGTCAATTAGAAGTGAACTATTATCACAACTCGATGAATTGCAGACCTTTATATTAATGCTGTTAATCAGATTAGAGAATTCTGCTTTTATGAAACAGAATTGCTACAGGAAGAGAAACTAGTTTTTGTGTATGCCTGAAGGAATACACAAGACATTGTGTCAGGTTTTAAGATTATAAAAACATGTAGTTGTTTGTCTATTAGTCATGATTGACGGATTATAGAAAAGAAAACAGTCCTAAGCTGTTTATTTTTATCTTCAACTCATTTGAATGATAGATGTTGTACAAGAAACACGAAGCTGCCTTGAATTATGAGATTATATCCCATTTGAACATGTCATTAGTGTGCGCATTTGTTACATAAGTAAAGTTGATTACCACCGATGCCAGTGTTCATCTTTAATTTGTGATTATGAAGGAAAATCATATTTTTTGTGTTGTATACTTGTAATCATTCCCGTATTTGGAAGAATTACCGTATCGTGGAAGTCATTGAATGTTGTGAAGCCATGTACAGAAGTCTTTATTATGATATTGTTTTATGATTTTTAGACGTTTGTGTTACAAGTGTTACAGTACTGAGAAGTTTGATTTTCTTTTGTTCCAAATCTGTTGGGATTGTCTAAGAAGTACAAATTTTGGACACATATTGATTATTCATCTATAACTTGGATAAAGAATAGTGCAAATCTTGATTGTTTAGATTATAATGAATAATTTACACAATTCTCATTTTCATCCTGGTTGGGCCCCAAGAAGTTTTTGTGTGGCACCGTGTGTTAATACCTTGGCATTACCCTTTTATAAACGGTATTATAGATGTTCTAAATGTTGTGATGTAAGAATATTTGTTATTTTCCTGTTGTTTATATGTATATCTCTAGCCCAGGAATAAGGTACCTGTCAAAGACATTGTCAGGCACTAATGTGACTAATTCAGCCTTTGTCACATACAATCCTGTGCCTGTAATTTTGTCTCGGACAGATTTATCTTTTTCTGTGCTTTTATTGATATTTTTAATACATGTTCGACACAGAGTTAAAAAAATGTCAGTTGGATTTTGATAAAGAGTAGTGTGGAAAACTTAACTGTCCGGGCAAAATTACCCTCATAACACACTGCATGTGTCATTTATTTTTGACGTACATTGGCATAGTACATGTCTTTGAAAGTTTGATGACACTCTCTTCAGTGAAAATTAATTGTTTTATTTTGTTGCAACAAAGGTCATAAAAATCATAAAATACTACGATTCGACTTGTACTCAATGTTAATCTTAGTCTGTAGCAGGAAAAATGGGGCTTAATGTCCACTTGACACTAAGTAATTTCGGGACTACCATGGTTCAATTTTATTTCAATAATTACTTGCTCGTAGGGGTCTAGCTATGGGAGGAAACCAGAGGACCGGGAGAGAAAACCCACAAGGTTGGACAGGCAACCCTACACCTTGTCACATACAAGTGGGAAATTGAAACCACTTCACTTGACTCGATGACCAGGGCTGCCGACAACCAGTATCGCAGCGTAATTTGCGATACATATTTTGTCCGTTGCTATTCAAAAATTAAAATGTAACGTTTTTGTTTCGAAGTAATTGTGAATCATTAATATGCCTGTCATTTTGGATATTGACACAAAGATTATCCACATTTTGAAGACTAGAAGGCTTTCTCAACACTTCCAATGTGTATAAAATGTCAAATAAAACTTTATAAAAAAAACTGAATTCTCCTCGAACTACCCAGACAGAATTCATTATAATATATAATACAGGGACATAACTCTATGAATATGACTATTAAACCGGATATAAGGAATCAAGTAGTACCACTCATGTTGCGAGACATGTTAATTTCAAGTAATTATATCAGTATTCATTTTGAAAGAAGTAAATCAAATGTATCCACCACATATTGTAAATAAAATATAAAAAGATAAATACATATTGTAAAATGATAAATCAAAGTAAAAATTCCCATAAAATATTATTGTTTAAATCGCGTGTGTCCGATTGAACAAAAATAGTAATACACGATAAAAAGCAGACGGAATTATTTTCTAATGAATATTTCTAATGTAACGAAGAAATAACAATTAAAATGAGTGGGGCTTCGGAAGTCACTGCCAAGAATTGGCTTCAGAAATAAGACCTAACCAAAAGTCTACATCACATTCACAAACTGTCACAGCCTACCTGCAGTAGTGCGAAAAACATCTGAGAATGAAATCTAATCATTTGTTATGAATTAAAGTAATATCTGGTTATTTAGGTGTTTTATGAAAAACTGCTAATCAATTTTTAAATTTGCTAATCAAATTTGGCAAAATTGGACTTTTTGATTAGCAGTGCTGCTAATCAACTGTGAAAAATTACCGACAGCCCTGGTGATGACAGACCTTATGATATATAACACGCACATGTTAAAAGATACAGCCACCCAACTCCCCCTTTCTTATTTCGGCTCCATATTTTTTGCTCTTTAAAAATAAAGATAAAATCGAGATAAACATGTTTTTCTGTTTGTGTAAATTGATGGTTTTTTTTAATTTAAATGTAGAAATTTTATGTGAAAAAGTGTTAAATCGTTTTCAAATCATAAATGACGTCAATCACCTTCTTATGGTTGTATTATTTAGATGTATGTATGGTATTATGTATATCCCTTGATGACATATCACCTTTATAATACGTGTGTATCATCAGTTTAAAAATAGAAACTAGCATCACGATTTACCTCTTTTATACTTTTTCAGGATATTATTATTAGAAGTAAATGATTGACATTTTAAAGATTTCCACAAAGATATAAATAATTATCAGCATCATGCTTTGAACAATTTTTATTTGAAGATTGTTCTGCTATAAGCTTAAGATATATGTTTTCATTAATTAGTTTCTTTTCTCTGAGTTTTCGTCTCATTTATTGGAACTGCCAAACTGAGCTTGATATTAAAGATGACTTTCAACTTACAAACTGTGTGATTAGGTGATATATTTGGACTAAAAACATATTCAAACTAATTTATCAATCAAAAGTTTGCTTCAAATCATTCTCAAAACATTTTAATTGGAAAAAAATACCTCATTAAATGTATTTTCAGCAGACTTGTTTTTCCTGTATACTAGACTCTATCACATCCGACGTCTGAATAATCCAGTATTCTGTGAAATCTGTCATCATTTTCATGTCCCGATTTATTTCCTTATTAATGCAAGCAAAAAAGTTTTGAGTAATCTGTATTCTGAATACCGGTATTACGAATTACGTCATCAATCACCGGTCCCATCACACATTTATGCATTGACTTAACATTGTATAGTCTGGCCTTCAAATTCAATCTGTCAGCAATCACCAGTCAATTATTGGTGAGTTAATACTCATATCGTCGGTCTTTGCCTGGATTATCAACAGAATGATGCACAAGTGGTTTCAACATCAAATCCTTTAAACATTTGGCACACTTCAACTAATTCTACGAATCTAGGGTACCGAAGTCAGCCGAGGTTTGCCGAATGAGCCTTCAAAGTTACTATCCGACTCTGAACCATCGTAAATTTTAAATGGATTACTTCGATTATGAACAAACTACTTAACTTTGGTTATTATAAACTTACCTGTGTGTTTGAAATCAACTCCTGTACAATAAAATCCATTGCACAACTAAATATCCCAACGAATAAAAAAGTTTTACGTTTAAACCCCTAACCATTCCCAAAATGGCTAACCATTCGATCAAGAAATAACAAGCGCCCCTTAAGTCAAGCTGGCAGACAATAAGCCATCTGGTTACCAGTTAGTGATACCCTAACATTTTTGCCCAGTGCTTGCCCCATGGGTGTTTTTCAGGGAATCCATTATTTTTCTAGTAAGATTGGGCATCTTACTTTCCATATACAAAATTTGCCATACTTTTATTGGAAATATCTACCCTATAAATACTTACTATCGTGGGAATGTATCTTTAATATACATGTACTCATGTATGGCTATTTAATTAGCTTTGTAAACATATTAAAGCAAGATTTAATTCTTCTAGAATCATACTAGAGTTCAGGACATATATTAAAGGGACACAATAATCTCTCTAAAACCAGATTATAATACTCAATTGCTAATGAATTTTAAAATATTGGTACTAATGTTCCATTAACTTACAGAATAAAAAATCCAAATCAAGAACACTATTTTTTTTACATATAGATCTGTCGACTAAGATCATTGATTTTTTCATGAAAAAATATATTTTTATATGTCCATATTCAGTGTTGTCACGCAAGTCCATTGTTTGTAGGTCTGTCCACAAATTTCCTCCTAGTCCTTGTTACATCAGGGCATCCAAAGATTTTTTTTGAAGATCTCCAAATTTTCTGATCATAATTCCTGTTCACATTTTTACTTTAAAAGCTTGCAAATGCAAAATATTCAGGATCTTATTTTAACCCAAAGGACATCCAAAACTTTGCAAAGCTGTGATGTGATCATGAAAACGTTGGGAAAATGTATGTTACATGTAGATAAATTTTGCTCTGAATAATAATTCTAATAATGGCCATATTTTGTGCAAGTTTCAATACATATTTCTCTGAGAAACCCATTTATGCATTATAGATTACCTGGTTCATGTATCACTTTATTTCAAAGTCAGTGTTTGGAAATGTTTTTAAATGAAGTTTAAAATGGACTTTGTTTGATCATAAGAGAGACCAAATAATTCTGTAAATTTATTGTCCACAATTCATGTTTGTCTTTTTAAAAAGAACCTTTCATGCCTGGTTGGTGAAGAAAAGTGGAATGTCAAATCCCATTTCATTTCATTTCATTATCTCTTTTCAGAGGCATACCCGGTCCATCACCACATGATGGAGCATCACCTTATAAAAGAGGTAGAACAGCCTCACCCCATCATATCCAGAGACCTTCAGGTTATCCATACGGTCAGGAACAGGCAGGTAGATATGGTATGGCGCCATCTACAGGTTATATAACAGCTTATAAATACAGAGATCCTTACCAGGTAAATAATTGTTACTATCCAATATTCATCTAATTTCTCTTTTCAGAAAATTTCATGTGACATGAGAAAAGCATAATTTTCAGAACAAAATTTACACATTTGACTAATTTTTAGGTCTCGGTATATAGGACCAATGTTCAAGTACCAAATGCAAAAGTTATTGAGAGAACCTTCGTTGCTTTATATTATTTATATGTACTAAGTATCATCAGTATAAAATACTGTACATAATGATAATCAAAAGCACATAAACTGAAAAGAAATGTCAGAGGTTTGTTTATTGCATGTTTTATCCTAGGACCAGCTAACTATAACAATATTATATATGCAAAGAAGCAAACACATCAAGAACACATAGCAACACAGATATTATTATTTATTGAATAAATATAGTGCTGCTGATTGTCATTTGTATTATTAGGACAATTTCTAATTTTTCATGACTAAATCTATGCTAAAATGTAAGCTTAGCCAAATTGATTATTTAGCTAATCAAGAAATCAAAACCAAAATATCCACAATTGTTCAACTCTCGGTTTGGATTCAGTTGGATTAAAAAGAAACCCATGGAAAGATTTTTCCCGTCATTTGCTGTTGCCAGTTATTGCAGATGGTGCAGATTATTCTGAAATTTTCAATTTGTCATTTCCTTGTAAATTCTGAATGGACTTTAACCATTTTTGGACAGATCTTTGTTTTAGAGGTTCAACATTCACATAACAATCAGTGTAAGCTATCTTAATTTTAGCTATGTAATAATGGTATATGGACGCTACCACTAGAACTTGTCAAGCAGACATATATAGCTATAGACATTAGAAAAGTTGTTTCAGAATGAGTAATTTACTACTCTGCCTTGTTCATTAGATCTGCCACAATGTATACATGAACTATTTAAAGGAAAATAGATCAATAGTTGACATGGAAATACCATGCCCATTAACTGGTGATGCTGCCTATGAAATAAAAGATTTAAGTCTGTATCTATAATTTAGTATAAAAAATTTGTATTATTTCAAAAACCTTTGTTCTTGCTAAACATAGTGAAAACTATTAGTGTTTACGTTAGTTACCAAATAATTGTCCTTAGCAACTAAAGAAACTTTGGTTTATAATTGGCAGAGACAGTAGATTCTTCACCAGATGAACCCTTTGTGTACAGGCCAAACTGAAGGACTAGAGCAAACTAATTACCCAACTCAAATTAATTATCTATTCCATTGTGCACACAGTAAAACCAATGTGTCTGTACATTCTTATTCTTGAACTCTCCAATTCTTGTCAATTATTCCTGGAATATTACCAAAAGAATTTTCTCAACAAATTGCATTACACATCTGTCTTTTAGAAAAAAATACTGTTCTTTTCTATACTACAAGTCAATTTTCTATTTTCTCGATTCCTTAGCTCTGGGCTTAACATGTAGCCAGTGTTATTGTGGAACTATATCAAAGACGGATAGAAATACTAGAATTACAGGAAGTTAACTTTCTCTTTGACATTTAACTACATTATTTTCAAATGAAGTAAAAGAAAAACATTACTTTAATTTACTGTTATACATGTAGTCATAAAATAGAAAAGACGTAAGTTGAAAAGAATGCCAGTCTTGGCATCTCAAATAATCAGGAACTTCCCTACCCTCCATCATTCACATTGCCATAAACTGCTTTCAATGTCTAAGCTTACACATGATGTTAAATCCACAGTGAATTTAAGTTTTTGAAATTGAATGAAATTTATGTAATATATAACAAGATCATCCGAGTTTCTGTTACAAAATGAAATGAAATAATATGGTGTTTAATGTCCTACTTTTCTGCACTGGCTAGGCTAATGAAGTTTACACCATACAGTGTGCTATGCTATGAGGGAAATTTTGCCCAGACAGCAGCGCTACATCAATGTGTACACAGGACCTTGGTTTTTCGTCCCATTCAAATGACTAGACACTGTCCTTGCTAGGCCCTTTGTCCTGCACCACTGACAAGAGGAAACCATGCTGAAAATTCCTGAGGAACTTTCTCGGCCAACACCGGGAGTGAACCCAACACCTCTTGGTTATGAAACCAGATACAATTTAAGTGTTATTGATTGAGTTCACAAAATGACCCCTCACTCTGTCTCTGTCTCTGTCTCACACACAAACATTATGGCAATTTAACTTTGTCTTGGATTATTTAAGAACAGTGTTTTTGTTATTATGATGACAATAATTAATGTTTTTGATATATATCAGACTAATTAGACCAGTAATGTCCTTGTGTAAATGGAATTGCTTTTATTCCCTGTCTCAATTTTAATGATGACTTATGGAGATTAAATATAATGGCTGTCTTAACATCTTTGTTTGCTATAAGTATTTGTAGACATTAAAGACTATTTGTTCATGTTTGTGTGGGAAGAAACATTGTTTTAATTAGCTCAGATGTACTTTACCATCATTATTATTGTTGTCTATATTCGTGATTTGACAAAGTATAAAAACAATTTTATCGATTATTGGAAGGGTTGTCCTCAATCGATTGTGGGATATTTCAGTATCTAATTATAATCTGAATAAAAAAAAATATATGAAATTACATGTAATTTGAAAATATCAAATTTCTCACATCTCAATCCAGGCTAATATGTACTCAGATTTATTATCTAATATTTAATTTTCAAAACATATCAAAATACTAAAGCTAGATAACCACCCAGATTGGATTCAATCAGATTTAACACCTATCATTTCTGTTCGCCAACAACAAAATGGAGGTATTATTACATAGTGGACAGCATAGATCGATGAAATTTCAATTCAACACATCTTTGTATATACTATACGGAATAGAACCGTATTTGAACCAATCTTCCTATTAGAGATTCATCTTACACCATATTGTAGTTTGCAAGGAATTCTTATTGCTTTAAATGACACATCAAGACTTGAAAGTAACTGTGCATGATTTGCATTTTTTGGAAAATATAAAATTCTTATGGCTTAATCCATGCTAAATTAATGTACTCAGAGTCAGACTGATTTTTTAACATTTTAAAAAAAAAACAATCAAAATATCAATGCTAGATAATCCCCGGCTTGGATTAAATCAGATTAAAAAGAGGCCCGTCCAATTTTGCGAAATATAAAGGTGGTGGTGTACCATTTAAAGAGGGAGCAACATAAATCGATGGAATTTCAGTTCATCATATCTTTGTAAATACTGAACCATTTCCTATTAGAGATTCAGCTTTTACACTATTGTAATTTTTAAGGGATTTTTATATCACTCAAATCCTGATCAGTTAAAGTATATTAGAATATAGGCATATCAGATTTTTTGGTTCAAAGTTCCTTATATTGTCCAATGGTGAAGAAGAGATGTTAATTTATATTTCATGCCAGGCCTTTGTGAATAGGTGAAAGGATAAATGAGTTATGAGGTTGATTGTAGTGCTATGTACGGCAGATACATGTACATGTACCTAGATGTTTACTAATGTGCTAGTCCAAATTCGTGTATCACAAAATTTCCATGGTCACCCTCAAATAAGCTTTTGATCATTACATTGCCACATGTTGCTCTACCTTTGGTAGAAAGCATTTTAGTGCACCCAAAATTTGGGTAAACTATAACAGACAAGAATTAACTTTTATAAGATTTATCTCCCTTTCATCAGTTCACTATACATGTATGCATATTCAAAGCATTAAAAACAAAGATTATTCAAATTATTTAGCCTACATACATGTAAAGTGATGTAGTAATTTTAAATTACATAGCTAATATAATTGAGTTATGATCATTTTTAATAAAAAAAATATATTGTGGAGCTGCAGATGTGAATGGCTTTTATAACTACAGTTTTGAAATGAAATGAAATGAAATGAAATGGTGTTTATTGTCCAATAACTACAATTTAATTCCTTAAAAAGGAACAACCTCACTGACTCAGGTGGAAAAAATTATCAGTCTGATTAAATTTGAAATGTTTGTGTTGATATAATTTTAAAGAGTGGTAAGCTGATCCATCTACATTTAGAAAATCCAATCCATGAATGAAATCGATATTTTTTTGAAATGGTAAAAAAAAAAATCCAAAAATAAAAAAAACAAGCAAAAATTAGTGAACATCTCAACTTCCACTTAATACTTTTCCTAAATAAAAAAATCCAACTTAAAAATTTATTATAAGAGGATGTTCCTCAAATTAATGTCTCAGATCAGCCCATTTCAGTGCAAAATGTTGATGGTTATGCTTATCCCACAACAGGGCCCATGAGTGAGGGAGGGACATCTGACACTTGTCCAGGGGCCCGGAGGTATATATGCAGAGTAATGTCTTTTAAAAAAAAATGTTGGTATAATAAAAAAAAATGCACTATTACTTGATCATAAAGTAGAAGAAAACCAGTGATTTTTTTTTTTTAATGTGGGTACCTATCTGTGTGGGTAGGATTAGAATTGGATTCTGTCGGTTCACTTTTTGGGGAAAAATTGGTGAATTAAAAACTATAAGCCACCTGCTCGGGCCTTCATGCCATGGGGGCCTGAGCCATCCTTATTCCGTTTGATGCTCTTTTCACTGTCAGGGTATCCAGGTAATCAGGGCATGTAGAATGCTACAATGATAGTGAGCTCGCCAGTGATGCGCTCCGCCACCAGTGATTATGCACGAGATTATCGATCACTCTAGATAGGCTGACTGGTATCCTATCATTAAAAACTTTGATTCGTTTGCTTGCTTTTAAAATTTCATGTCAGAATCGTGAATGTGGTTATCGGTTGCTCTAGGTAGGCTCACTGGTATCCTGTCATTAAAAATGAAACTGAAAATTTTTACTTTTGTCTTCGTTTTGTTTAAAATTTCGTGTCAGAATCGTGTACATCTGATTATTATTACATCAGTAAAACTAAAACACTGTACATGTATTTGGTGTGTCATATATGTTGTTGTTTTAAATCCCAGTTACCTCAGATATATGCCAAAATGAAACTAGAGACCATGTATCTTTC